TGCCTTCTTATTTTACTAGTAGATAATAGGAATCAAGTCAAAATACACAGCTGAGTGTTTATGGATTGTTTTATCTACCATTCTTACTTTTTTAAAGGTCAGTGAACTTCATGAATTGAGTTTCTAGTTAAAAGAACTTCTTTAAACAGTAACTTGAGAATTTCACATTTAATACAAAAACCATATGTTAAAATGTTTAAATAACTTAAATTTTAATAATTAAAATTTTAAGAATCACTTAAAATTCATTTCTAGAGAAATACGGAAAATCCCACTATTCAGTGGCATGATTATGAGTGATTTAATTCTTTATAATTTTCTAAAATCTATCCACCAGTTTTATATTTGCAAATAACATATTTGTGAGGCAATAAAATAAGAAAGAAAACATGCCATTGGAAGATACAAATAAGTAGGAGATCTCAAAGTCTAGGCATACACATATAGAATAAGAATCCCAGTTAAGAATAACCCCAATATTGTATTTTTGGTAGTTTACATGTAGACCCTTTTTGTCTTCCAGTTCATTGTAAAGTAACATAAAACAGCAACAACAACAACAACACAATGCCTATTTTATACAATGCAATCCTTTACATGTATTAGTAAAAGACAGCCTTTGTTCTAGCTAACATGTTTTAACTTTTGAAACTGTTTATGAGACTATCAGAGGTCTTTTCTGCATGAAAAAGAAAATGAGCAGTATGAACTTTCTAATAGAAAGTTCAAGCATTACTCTATAGAGAAGAAAAATAAAGGCAATGCATTTGTTAATGCTTGATTAGGAGTACTTTTTCACACATTTTCATACCTCTTCAAGTCAAGAAGCTATTGCCAGGAACACTTTCATGCATAGATGTATTTCTCTTTCCAGCAGAAACCCAGTCCAGATGTTCAGAATGGAGTTCAGCAAAAGCATGTAAAATTCACAGCAAGGCAATGACATTTATATAACCTTTTCATTTTTTTTTTTTTGATGATACTTTGGGAATTCAGATCATTAGTTGTAGAAATATGTAAGCTCAAATAATGGGAAAAAAATAATATGTTGTGAGTGATTATTGCCACTTAGATTCAGGAATATAAATAATTGACAATAATTGTAATCGTGTATTTTATTCACTTCTGATGAATATTATTTATATAAATTGATGTGTTAGTCTTTTGTATCATTTTCCAATTACTGAAAAGACAGATAGTAGAACTATTTCTGAAACTATAGTGAAATGACAAGATTTAGCATTTAAAGAATGAAAAAGAACACCTGCTATGTGGAACTAATGATTTTATGTTACTCAGCGGGGACTGTTTGTATATTTTGAAAGTGAGCTTTTACATTACAATAAATATCATTTGTAAAGTTATCATTCTTATAATAAAATAGCCTCATTTAAATCCAGAAAGGTACTTGGCCAAGCAGAAAAAAAGACATTTAGGGAATATACTAAAAATATCTAGTAGCTTCCTAAGGGGTATTTATGCTTATATATTTCTCAAAGCCAGTCAGTGTTGCTGAGCATGGAACCTGCCTGCTGTTGTGTGGGCCAAGAGTAGAAACCACAAAACATTCTATCGCTTCTCAGTGGAAAAAGAAGGAGAGTAAGACAGAAACTAGAGTTGAGCTAGAGTTGTCAACTGTTGTAGCCCTGGGAAGATGTTGAAACACCCAAACCAGATGAAGGCTGTTGTATATTGAGAAGTCGGCATTAGTCATTTGTAATGTGTGGAGCCTTTTGTTGGATGAATAACTATATCAGTTAATATGAATAGTTTCTCCCTCTCTTAAATCAAAACCTTCTTTATTATCATCTATGCCTTGCCCCGATTCTGTGATCAGCCACAAAGAAGAAAGGCTGAGCAAGTAGAGTTTATTGCTCCCGAGCAGCAGCTGAGTCAGAGCTCCCTAGGGTGGGGCCCAAAGCTATTGCCAGCCTATAGGGGAAAAGGGTCTCTTATATGGATTCAAGGTTCAGATTCTAAAGGGGTGACTCATCGCTGTGACCCCTGATGGGAGACCCAGTTCTTTATTGCCCTTACCTACAGGTACCTCCCTGACGGGAGGCATTTTCACTCTTATCTAGTTCCACTGGTAGTTGTCGGACACCTGGTCACCCCCAACAATCTAGAATTGTTGGGTTTATATTTTTTTTATATATATTTTTTAAATCTGTAAAGAGAAAGCTTGTGTGGCAGGAATTTGGGGGAATATAAGTATGCACTTTCACACTTAGAATTGTATCTTTTACTATAATATACATAAACACCAAACACAAACTCTAAACTGTCTTATGTTTTCTTCAGAACTTCCTTAATAATCAAATTGTTACAGTTCTCCCTAGAATCATTTGCAAGTATCTGTCAACTGGTCCAAGATGTTTGATGTTTTATATCAGAGCATCTGTTACTGAATTTTATTCTAAGTGTATGCAGTTTTGAAAATGTGGTCTTTAACTGCAGAGTGCTTATATAATGAATTTTACCACTTTACTTACTTCCAATATGTTCCACAAAATATTGCCTACCTGCTTATTGGTTTATTTCAGAGATGCCTCAATCCTATCTATCATGAACTAAAAAGGTAGTCTGTCAAAAGTCCATTCCTTGCAGTTTTGCTACCACACACCAGTCTTTTTTTTTAAGATTTATTTATTCGTACAGAACCGGGGTACAGGCCAGAGATGCGGAGGGTGAGAGAATTCACCAGAGACAGAGTGGAGTGCAGAACAGGCAAATCTACGAAGTACACTGCTGAGGGGAGCAGCGGGCGGGTCAGGAGAGGTCTTCCGCGCCATGTGGATCTCCTCCGGGGCAGGCGGGGATCGAACTCATGCGAAAGTGGCTTAAGCTTCTTTGTGCCGTGCTTTAACCCGCTGCGCCACCAGGGAGGGCCAACACCAGTCATTTTTAATATATATTATATTGATTTAATTTTCATTACTTGCTTCTATATTCAAAGTAGTGTAGACATATATTTCTACTACTTATAATCTGCCTTGTCATTTTGTAGCCCTTGAACAAAATTTTATTGGGATAAGGAGAAGGAATGAATGAATTTTTTTAGAAAGAGCCATTTGTGTGTCTTCCTTTCTATTGAACTTCCCATGGATGGCCAATCTACCCCAGAGAATTTCTTCACAAAAGTTGCAGTAAATTGGAAGGATTTTTTTCACTTCTGATCCATCCCCTATTTAGTGAATCACTGATGAGAAGTGAAGGTTACCTCTTCACATATTTGGAATATCATTCCTCTGAATATGCCAACAGAAAAGAAGGGTCCACTGACATACCTGTGTTCTTGGAGTTTTAAAATTCCAGTATAATCACAATATAATCTTACCTTCAGGACTAATAGAAAAGTCTAAAAAGCACAATTTGGGAATAAAAAAAAAAGAAAGAAACCCCAGCATAATGTAAGAGCCCACAAACTAAAAATGTTTTTACACAGTTTTATTTTTGTCACGATTTCCATGAATTTAAAGTTAAAATGTGATTACATAAATAAATACATATGTCAATTGCTTTCATTTACTTTTTTTCCAAAATATTATTTATGTATCTTAATGCTTTGGCATATGCCCACTAGTCATATTAATAGAGTTAGCGGTGTGAAATCAAGTCTCTTAAATGGGTATATGAATGAGAAGTTAAAATACTTTAAAATAGTCTTGAAGAATACCTTTTCAATGTTTGTTTAGCTTGCTTTGTGGATTTTTTTTTTTTAAAGGATGCTTATACTATAGCATCATTGATTTTTAAATCCCTGTAGACTCTTAAAGCCTGAGATGGTCTTTACTAGTAATAGGCCCATTCCATCTTAAGCCAATCTGATTGTCCTAACAAGTATTTTACAATAAGAATAGTTAAGTAGAGCCCATTCTCCCCAGAACACCCCATTATAATGGCAACTTAGTTATTCTTATTGGTCAGAGGTAAAAAGATTAAAAAATTTAAATATGATGTATTCAGGACACTAGCCTCATATTTGAAAAGCTTGTTATTCTACAAACACTGTTTTTCTTTCTTTGGGGAGGTAGATTTCTAGCTGTGAATTAATTGACATGGTGACTAGAACAGCTATCCTTATATAACCCCCTTTGTTCCTTTCCCCACTGGACAGCTTGTGCTCTTGTTTTAAACAAAACCAAACTGAAAATAAAAATTAAAAGCTCTCAAATATACCATTAAAAGTATTCTATTAAACTGGAAAACAAGTTGAGTTCCCTTTGTCAGTAATGTATTATTCTGATATATATTTGAAGTAAATAGAAACCACACATATAAGGGAAGGATTCTTAAAATTATTTTAAAC